CCGCTTGGCCCCCGAATCTGTTTCCTTTAAGGATCTTCTCGTGCAGTCATTTTTCTGGAGAAAAGACGCGACTTTTTGTTGCAGTTTTCTAGTATTAGCCCAGAAAATAATAGGGAGAACCATAAAAGTTGAAGTCTTAAGAGTTAAAGAGTTAAAGTGAAGAGTTGAGGTGAAGAGAAAAGAAGAAGAGTTAAAGTCTTCATGAGCTTCTTGAATGGCCTCTTTTACTTTAAATCAGCACATCTGGTTTCATCAAGGCAAAAGGACAAATGTTCGTTGTGATCTTGAGTGAGATGGCGGTTTCTGTTTTTCGTATTTTACGTAGCCGTTGTGAAGCGCGTAAACACGACGTTGATCATTGAACGATGAGCGCTGGAACGCCAGACAGACTTTATTCAGCAACAAGTTTGAATTGCCTAGTGCAGTATTTACAGTGCTAGCCATCGCACCAAGAATAGAATTGGGGAGACTGATTTTAAAATGGCAGGATTGCGCTTTTATTCGAGTTAGAAATAAAGTATGGAACTGATGACAGCAATAAGCAGTTGAAATATGCATTGTTAACAGAACCAGTGTTTCGACACCTTTGCAGAGGAACTCTGAAAGAAATAGTACACACATCTTACAAAGGTTTCAACAACCGCCAAGCCTTTCCATTCCAATCAAATGCATTAACGACTTATACCTTCACAGCATAACTTGCTCAAGTTTACTCAAGAGTCTGGAGCTGGCATGATCGACCTGACTGCTCTTAGCCTTGTAGGAAAAATGCACATCTCTTTATAAACCACAGAAACTCATCGCACACATATACTGACAATAAACGCATTGCTATATCATCACAGCGCAAGAGTACACAGTGAAACATATTATTAATACTTAGCACTAATTTAAGGGAAGGCAAAATATAAACTTTAGGTGCAGTCTATTGTGGGGGATCTGGCCCATGGAATCACTTGAGCACGTGCCATACTTAGCCGTGCATGCAAAACAATCTTGCTCGAAAATGCACGACATGTCCAAGAACTAGCAAACCATTTGGGAAGTGTTCATCAGATGTACTGGAGGACCTCCAATTTAGAGTCCTGTGATCGCCTACTCCATTCTCTCTCCTCCCTTTCCTTGTATTTAGAATATGAGTAAATATTATAATGAGATCAGTACCTCAGGTACAATACGAGGCCTTTTTTCCTGATATAAAGGTCCTGAAAATTTCTTCTTGCATAAATATATATTTAGATTATAAAGTTGAAGTGCTAAAATTGTTTTGCCACTTTGGTGGTTCTTTCTGAATTAGAAGTAATTCGAAAGTTGTCGTTTCCGTCCTTTTCGATCTTACGACTAAGTCCAAACCCCCAGTATTGTTTAGAATGCGTGACTTAGCTTATTAAACTATTGTGCAGGCGTGGCTGTGCGAGCGGTTTCCTTCAAAGTAGCATTTCAATTCTAGAAGATTAATCGCGTAGTTATCTGTGCGGAGGTCTAAACATTACAACTTATTCTGGCAAATGTCATGTATCATTGATAGAATTAACAGCAGGGATCTGACTACGACAAGTCCTGACGCCACTTGGGTCATCTCGTTTTGGTAATGTTGTAATAACCTTAATTTTCGATCACATACGATCCTTAATTGCAAACATAGATATTTAATGTATCATTTTTTTGTTCAAGGTTTCGTTTTGAGTACTGCTCCATTCCAATTGACAGATCACCACAGGCGTTGACTCAATTAGAAAAATAAGCTCGATTCCTCCCATTTGACGTCCTCTAACTACCAAAAGTCTCCGAATCCGTTGTATGGTTGTCCAGAAAGATACACTATATGAATTTAACACTATATGATTTTAAAGCCTCAGATAAAAACTATGATAAGGCTAAGTCCTCAGATGTCAGAGTTTATTTCTTCGGCTTGCCTGTTCAAAATTACTCTATGTAAAATATTTATTCCCGTTATACCGAGTTATTTACCGGCGTTCCTCTCTTTGATACAAACAGTTTAGCAGTTTGTGGCATTGGCGATACAGTACAATTATCACCAGATTCTAGTTAAGGGTAACCAAAGACCAAATGCTCATAAAATCTACAGGTCAGATTTCCACCAAACTTAGGAAAATCAACTTCAACAAATTGTTTTGTGATTTCTGATAGTCATTGCTCTAGACTTCTTTTTTGCCGAAAAGTATCTATTACAAGTCAATACTACAAAATTTCTAATCAGGTATCCATCAATTATGGCCGCATAAATCCTTTTGGTGATTTCACAGTTCCAGCATAGTTTCCAACGACCAGTTTTAACCAATCTTAGTATGTTTGTTTTTCTCTTTGAAAAATATCCTGAAGGCGATTTGGAGTGTTTCTACGAACTTTGAACAGTTTCTATCCCAAATTTCTATTCCAGAGCAAATAAGATTTCTTGCTCAAAGCGATGCCTTCTCTATAATATGATGCAGCAGAGGAACCACTTTCTTGCGCAGAAACAAGCGATCAAATCATACATGTTCAATGCTAGTCCAGCACCCATATCTTCGAGGAAG